AGGCCACCGCTTTCTCGAGCTTGAACTATTTTTCAAAGAAATTGTAGCATGTTATCGAAAATCAACTTATCTTTGGGACAAAACCACGTGTGACTTGTCTCGTCGCATATTTCAAATCGCCTACTAGACACTCAGATCAGGGAATTAATTAAAACTCACAGCTCTGATCATTTTTTCTGAATTCGACCTTACCATGAAGAAAATCTTATGATAGACGCCAAAGAGACTTCATCTTACTCTCAAAGCAGACAACATCTTAGACTGTGTTTCGCCGACAACTGGTACCCTGGAAGTCTGGTTCTAACTTCTCAAGCTCCCAGTTCGTTCATTTATCTCAGTTGAAATTCTAAAGGTTCAAAACATCTTCTTCTGCAATTCTGTTACGCAAACGATCGTACGATGGGCAGAATAGGCTTTTGATCCCTTCACAGGCGCAAAATGGCCGTGCTCGTCTCGTATTTCCGGCGACTGGATCCCAAGAGGCCCGCAATATGTGCAAAAATAGTACATAGAAGACTCTCAATCGCCCCCAGATGTTTACCTTTTAAAAAGCAGGGTAAATGATCGAATATGAAGGACTAAGAGTGAGCAGCAGAAAGCATAATCCTCTGTGTTTTCTTGTGGACTTCCCTATTATCCGTCATTTACGTTCCTATCACATACCTCAAAGCCCAATTTGGCGATTTATAGATACCTGCATTCTCGCCTCATTCTCTACTGCTCTCCGGTTATTCTTCTAGCCTTGCTTAAAAAAGACTTGATTTTTAAACGTATCCTCCGAATGTATTGCCTTTGAAAACCCTACTAAAAAGGGACATTTCTTAAAATAACGAAGTTACTATAAAGTAGGAAGTAGTATATTCATGTTGGAGCATATATTTCTGAAGAATCGTGAAATAAATACATATTATCCTTTACTGTAGGTATGAGTAAATACTTAGCTTCAATTTGATACGTGGCGGGATGTTTACCTTTGACTGCGCGTACTTCTAGCAAACAATGTTAACTGTGCTAAGAAAAAATGCAGTTAATCATTATTCATTTTCCATATTGTTTTTTTTTGGTACCTATGTAAACTTGGTCATATTTTACAAAAATAATTCCAAAAAAGCCATTTTTGCTTGTTTACGTTTTCGTGTAATTTTGTAATTTTTGTCAGTACTATGGTTTCTTCAAAGGTTATAATAATGAAAGGTCTCCAGCACCCACAATACTATTTTTGAAGTATATATTTTGCAAGCATATCAGTGTTGTGCGTAGCGGGAACTCTTATAACATCTGCTACAGAAGACACGAGTAGAACCCCTCCCCCCAAGCAGTACGGACGGCCTTGTGATTAACTTTAGAGAGGGTAAGTGATTACGTGTTCTAACCCTAAAGCAAGCGTTAACGTTAATCAAAGATGAGCTCGAACCTAACAACCTAGCCCGTATCTTCTTGAAATTTAACGCAAGGCTATCTGCATTACGTGGGGTTCTA